AGACCAAGACCAAGACCACGACCACGACGACCACCACGACTACGACCACGACGACCACGACGCGACTACCCAACAAATCGGACTTTGAGTACAGCTTATCGCTTTCAATGATGATAATGATGCTCACGATCGTGATGCTGAAGGTGACAATGACAACTACCATGAAACATGATAGTTTTCTTATGATGCTGATGATGATGCTATTGGTGAACTCGTTTGTAACACTGGGTCTGGGTGTAGCTGCGCAGGAAGCTGCCAGCATCTATTTGACGGCATCCTCAGCAGGCTCGTTTGACAGTCCGGGGCTTCTGTGGCGAGCAGGTGTTAAGCCGTTTAACGAATAGGGGCATTCAGAGGTATGGCAGCCTTGAACTGCCCCCACCGTGTACTTGCTGCTGGAGGTGAAAAGTCAAGTACTGTACTGTGACCTGTGCACCTGGGAGGACCAGAATTCATACTTTCGCGTAACCAGTTTGTCAATCCCGATGAGGCTTTGGAGTCTTGTAGGACAAGTCAGTTTGGGTGGTTCTCAATTGTGCACTTGGACTACAAACGAGATGTCAGATTTCCAGGCGGGCCCACGGAGGCTGCACTTGTGACCACCGCGAAGAACATGGCACCTCCTCTTGAAAAGTCCACAGGAAAATTTGGTATTGTTTGGTTGGGGCCTGAGAATGTTCAATGAGGCGTTCTCAGCCGACACTCTTATTCCACGCGTGCTGTGTTCGAGTTTTGTTGAGTTTCAGCCTGAACGGTTTGAGGTTCTGATTCTGGGTGCGCTTGGATCCTGGGTTTTGCTTTCTGGAATCGCGAGCCCTCCTCTTTGATTTCAAAACACCAAACCCTCGCAAGCACGGTCAAGCAAGCAATGAAGCAAAAACCACCCGACAGCAAGCAAGCAGGCGGGCAGGCAGGCCGGCGGAAGCAAGCAAGCGAGCCCGCCCGCCTGTCCGGCTGCCTGCCTGCCCCAGACAGAGAGACGGACACAGAGACAGACAGACAGACACAGACACAGACACAGACACAGACACAGACACAGACACAGACACAGACACAGACACAGACACAGGGACACAGACACAGACACAGAGACACACAGACACACAGAAACACAGAGACACTGAGACAGAGACACAGACACACACAGACACACACACACACACACACACACCAACCACACACACACACACACAAACACACACACACAAACACACACACACACACACACACACGGTGGATATGAATGTGAAGTAGGGCTTTAGCCA